GGGGGGCTCTAGGAAGAACCTCACCAACCTGTGTACTTGTTGAGCAGATTTGTAGGTGGTCACGATGGATACTGATCCGATGAGACCCTGGTTGAAGGCTGTGCATTGGAGCAATCGATCCACGGTTCTGAAACTATTGAACTGTCTTCTGAACATCTGCTACACATATTTTACTGGGCCTAACTACTTACCAACGCCTGATCGATGATCTTCAACAAATCACTTCTACCAGATGGATCGATAGACACAAAACTCACATCCGTTATCACTCCGGCAAACTGGAAACAGTACCAGTTAGGGCAGCCTTTTTACTCCATTGCTATCAATCTCTTGGGATTCGTTATCGATGCAAAAACATGAGAATTACCGATTACGATTAAGAAAGCATGGGAACAATATGGGATTGTGGTCAACGTTGGACAGGCAATCGGAATTCGCTGGGAAAAGGCTGGTTACCTTTCAAGCTGGCACATACTAGCCTCCATACTTCCATTTACTTTTACAGGTCCCCTCAAGGTCGAGTATCTTTTCATACTTTCCCCACTTATCGTTTCCAACCTATCAAGCAAGATGTGTGCTGCCTTCCTTGATCAAGAAATAAAGAATAAAAAGCCACATGGGTAGCTTTCGCCCAAAACCCTCCCTTTCGGTTTCGAGCTGTGTCATGGTAAGTTTGAGTCTAGGCGCGTAAAATCGATATCCTGACTGAGGTAGTTGCATAGGTGAGCGACTAGAAATATGGAAACGGTCAGAGTGAATTTGTAAGTCAAGAAAGGAGAGGTGAAAATACAATGGCGACTACCCGCAGGAGGCGAATACCTCAATCTTAGCGTCATGGAAAGAAACTGTAGAATGAGGTTGTCCCATGTGGCAGATGACTTAATTCCACCTCCACCCCCCTTCTCCCGTAGCTGTAACGTGGTTTAGTCGATGCAGCTGCGATCTGGACTATTAAAAAAGGCTGATAAGAGAGTTAGAAGAGAAAAAAGAAGAAAAGAAGAAAAAGAAAGGAATTATGGGAGCGAGCATTGTCAAGTCTGTACTTTGTCCTGGTTCAGTCAGTGACTTTATCAGCAGGATTTGGAAGCCTTATCACAGGAAGCTGAGGAGCATTCCAACGAAAAATGAAGGAAGGCCCACATTTTCCATGAAATAACTGATCGCGAGCTGTAAAGAACAATTACTCAACACTGGAATCAGATCTCCCTACACAAATTCATAGAAGGGTAGCTTCGGAGGAGGATTAAAAAGCTGCCATAGTCCTCTCTAGGACCCGGAAAATTCCAGAAGTCATTGATAGCTTCAACACTTGACCCTTTCTGAATGCTATACTCACCCTCTGGCAAGGTTCTTGTTAGAAAAAGAAGGATAGCCGAAAAAAGTTGAAGTGACAAAGACCGCCGTGTCATAGATGGAGGTACCTCGAAGCTTTCTACTGCATTTTCAATTTGTGGAACAAGTTCAACGAAGATTTTGTCCTTCCAAGAGACAGCTCCCTCTCATCGTTTAATAGGAGAGAATAGTCCCACGAGGTTATTCAACTCAAAAAGGTTGGAAATGGCCCCAATTATCTACTAGAATCTGACCGCATGTCAAATGCATGGCGAAAAGCTTGCCAGGTGACTTGCCTGCTATGTGTAAACCATTTTATGCTCCAGGAGAGCACTCTGGCAGCTTTTGAACCAGAGACCAAGGGCGAGTTTTTAAGAAAGGGGCGCTAATGCTTTCACAGAGCAATTTTAGCTCGAAGAGCTAGATTTGATCAAAGGAAAAAGTTCAGATGGCTGATGGCTCGTTGCATAGCTCGTAGATAAGATTGCGGAAGTGTTTTTATGGTGCTCGAAAGGGCATGTAAGTGACACAGCCGAGCATCCCTCTAATGGAGAATGATGACCGGGCAAAGAATTCAGAGATTGGAGCTTCATCCTTTCATGAGAGGGTAGGTAGAAATCATTCAAGCCAGAGACAGTTTGAACACTCTCAAGATTCTTAGGTAGAGATAGGAAAATTCAAAAAAATCTAGTATTAAAGGCAAAAGATCACTGAACTTACCGCTACATCAAACTCGACGACTTCCTCAGGACGATCTTCAGTTCGTTGAAGATTCATAGGTGGGAAGGTCCAGCTGGGAAGGATTGACGAGGGGTTCCAATGGCTGCAGCAGAAAAATCGTGCAGCGGTGGTAAGCGGGTTAGCCGGGTGAACAGTGAGTGCCGTCCAACACTGTGCAAATAATGGCGTGAATCCCTATCGAGTCGAGTCCCACACGAGCTCCCACACACACATACACATACGTACCCGCCCATGTGGCCATTGGAGCCGCCATGGTCCGTGCGGATGCTAATCTGTTGGGAGGGGGTGTGTGTTGCTAATATACGATTTCTCTCGGGGAACTTATATTGGCGCTGTTGTATGGAGTGGTAATCAATATATGGCGAGTAGTCAAGGTTATGTGTGGGCGCAAATGTATGGGGCAAGGATTGGCAATAGATAAGACCAACGAACTCGTCTCTTCTGCGTTCCTTTGCTATTGTCTTATCGAAATAGATTCCAAACTGGGGAAAAAGACTGGGTGACAAGGTGAATAGGGGAGCGGAAAGACCTTCTAGGAAAAGAGGGGGCTGACAGAGCAAGATTGTTCAAGCCTTCTAGCTGGACAATCTCAAAATACGTAATGAGGCTTGTGAGATGAAATGATTTGATGACTCGATCTATATAGATAGTGAATTCGCTCGGGAGACCTCTTCCTCTCCCAGACGAATCCATGACCAGTTGCCCTCGCCAAGAGAAGTGAGTTTTTCCGCTGGTTCGAAAAGATCTGAAGTAGTCAATTTAGGGCTCGATCCCCGCTTCATGTATGTCGAGCGGCCCTCTTACCAATTAACTACGTTATGATGGTGTGGAGAATGTGTAAGGGCGTTTAAAATGACTCGGAAGTTCCGGCATCTAACCTTCCAGACTTGACTAGTGGACTCTATCAATCAAGGAGAGTTTAAAGGTATATTGGGCCGAGTTAGAATTTGGTTAAGCGAATTTGTCAAGTATTCTATTCACAGGACATAATCATCCCCTAGAGAAACAGTCCGGGAGCAAAAGGAGTGTGATGAATTCGTTTACTCACCCAATTTCTTAGAAAGGATCTCTTGCCGAAGGTCGCTTATCTCGAAGACAGCATATCTGCCCTTCAGGGTGAAGAGTATGCGGTTTAATCAGCGCTGAACTTCCACAATAAACTTTGAAGGCGGTTTAGGTCGAGTGGGATGCCATTTCGTTGACTCCGTCTGGGAAGGTTAATCAACGTAGACAAAATCCAGTTTGGGGCACAGCCGCTGAACTCGAAAAATCAGGGAACTCACTAAGAGAAATTGCCGCTTATTGATGTGAGAGAATAGGAAAATCCGAAAATCAAGGGGCATGGGAATCGGAGAGAAAGCAGCAAAAGCAAAAAAGATTTCCTCATACCTTCCGGTTCGCTTGACTCCGCCTTTCAAATTTGGAAGACCGGCCTCCCGGTAAGTTCCTGCTCCATAAAATCGTTTTCGTTGATTATTAATTTTGCTTTGTTTGGATCACTTGATCACTACCTATCCCTTACTTTTCACGAAGTTTCTGATTTTCCTAAAGCAAGGGCATGTGGGGCGTGGTGCAGTTGATTCGACATTGTCGTTTCGCGGCGAGAGCGACGTCGCGCGCGTAGGAATGTAACAGAATGGAGCAGAAGCGTCGGAGCGGGTAAGAAACACAGGAACAAAAGAAGTAACAACAGAAACTCGTTAAAATTATAATAATTGCATATTAGTCGAGCTGTATGAAGAGCATTAGAACTGCAACGACGGGACAACTAGCCCGTGCGGCGTATCGATTACACAGAACCGATTCAACGCCCGCCTCTCGATCACGTGCGCTGCCTGTTGAAAGTGTAAATGGGATTAAGTAGGGGCTGACCCTTACACCAACTGTTACCACGACCCTCTGGTAAATAAGGATTGGGTTTTCTGATACTTTTTGCCCTCAATGAATCGTAATGCGACCTTTCCCAATGTATACTGAGACCTTACGTCCTTTTGCACAAAAATCGGCTTATTTGTATTAATCAGGTAGCAAAGAGCTGGATGTTTGCTCTATTTTTTCACACATTCATCCTATGAGCGGTGTCGTGATAACAGTGTAGCTGGGTTTCCTAATTCGGTAAGGACAGTCATGCAAATGGAAACAGATTTCTGATCCTACGGATCAAACCGTGGCTATGGATCCTTCAGGAAGATAGATGCTGATTTTTTTGAAACCAGCAGGTGTGTTTTTTATTATTGATTTTGTATTCTGTTTTGTATCCGATTTGTTCGAGACCTGTGTAGAAGCTTACATGGACTGCTGCAACCCTCAGAGGGCCAGTAGAGTCCGTGGCGCTTCCCAAACCTCGAGCGCTCCATTTATCTTAAGGGCATTCGCGTTTTTGCGATTGGGGATACCAGTTTATTTGTCAATCTTCGGTAATTTTATCGCTCATTTGGATCATATAATTAGCAAAAGAGCATGGAATTTTATTGCTGACGATGCCCATCATGATTATGGCATGCCGTCCTGAAGAGGCATATCGGATGTCGTTGCTATTTCACTCCCATGCTTTACTGCTCCATGAAGAATTCACTTGGCCGATCGACTACTGGACATTCACAAGTTGTAGATGTCATTGCTACATATGTATGTTGCCTAAAAAATGTAAACAATAAACATCAGACAGGCAGGAATGCCGGCCACGATTCGAACATTCTATGACGGTGATGCTTCATATAGCACTCGTCATCGGCATACGTCAAATAGCCGACAATACACGGGAACGCTGACAAGCACTTATGACAAATCAGTTGAGCTTTTGGGAAAGTTTAGGGGTGCAGTCTAAAAACATTCTAATGGCATTCTTGAACGAAGACTTTCTCCGCCGTTGTAGTATGAATAACCTCCGAGTTATTGTGGCACGGCAAAGGCTATTTTGTGATTTTGATGGCTTTAGCTTCCCCAAGATTGTAGAACTTTATTCAACTATTGTTCTGACCTCTTCGCGTTTTACAGAGCCTGAAAGCTGAAAAACCAATTGGAATTGGTCTTCACTTAAGGCCAAACAATACTCCAGACAATTAACCAGGAGACCCCCGGGGACCCGATCAATGTGAGAGTGCTACAGTGCTTACCTTAATTGTAGGGCCAACTATTAACACAACTCACAAGGGTGAAATTTCTGCGTACAGTAAGCAACCCATCTCCTTCTTGATCAGTCATGCCTTACGTATGCTGCAAAGCGGATCCCAAAAATGGCCATGTATTGGACATCACTAGGAGCCAAGCGAGGAAGAGGCCGCCCCAGAAACACATAACGAACAATTAACGACGATGAACTTAAAGTCATGAATGTTCCAAGGGATGAAGGAGCAGTTATTGCACAAGATCGACAGCAGTGGAAGCAATTAACCGTCTGATATACTCAAAAGCATGGAAGGAACTAAGCCTGAGTAGTTAACGGCATTGATTCAAGGACATCGAAGGCGCTCTTGTAATCGTTGTAAGCTGGGGTAGTGGTGAAATCACACTCATTTTCTTCGATGTCGGTCAAGAAGCTTGATCACAGCTTTCGGAAGGCCCAGTACTGATGCTTTCCTGTAGCCTCTAGACCAGCAATCGGAAACCAATGTCTTCCATTTCTCAGAATATCGAAATCGTTTGATTCCTTAATCGTAATAATTTTTCAGAGTAAACACTACAATCTTCTTTTCCTTTTCGAACCACTTTTATTCTTGTTCGTCTTGTTCTTTTTACTACAGTCACTGTTGTCAGCTCATAATGCTACTTGTTAGTGGCAGTCAGTGTTTTCCACAAATCTCTGTGGTTTGCCGCACCTCGGGCAGCAACCTGAAGGGCTGGAATAAGTCAGACATACATAAGCTGAACCAATCCAGAATTCATGAAAGTAAGTTAATCGAAGCAGCCCTGAATGGGTCTGATCTATGCCGAATTTTTCAGTGGGATGGCTTTTGGACATTTCTGGAGGCACATACACTTGCTGGTTGTTCATGCCACCAATTCATCGTGCTATGTACATACATTCAAGACTATTTAGCAAGTCCAATGGATCCACCTCTGGCAGGCTTTCGAAGAAGGCGATTTCCAGAGGAATTAGCTAACGAAAGTTTGATTTGTTATCAGCTTTTATTCCCAGTGAAATAACTAAGAGACAAACGACGTATAAGAAAAAACTTCTGATTCGAAGTCATTCGAATCAACAAGTGTGGTCTGCTGAGGCAATCTACATAATTTAATCGTTTCCTAGCTTTTTTAGTTTTAACAGAAGACGTGGAAAGCGGTAGATATATATCGTGAGACGATTCTCGGAACGGATGGACTGAAGGCAGTAGAAAAGGTTGAATGAGCACTCAATGAGGTGGAGTCAAAATGATGTCGTTAGGTTTGAGAATGATTGCCACATAAAATTTCAATGCTTCCAAACGACAGTTGATGCTATCATTTCAGGCTTTCTCAGTCTAAGTAAATGTGACTGCTTGAATCAGAATTCAGAACTACAAGCAACAACGCCTGTCTCCTCTCTCAAACTTGGCATTCCATACCACTCCATAAAAAAATGTTCTGTTGGGTTTGAACGTTTTTTTTCTTTGCTATTCCGTAATGCACTCGAATTATAAGGAATGGATACGTTTGTGAGTATTTCAAAGTTTTCAAATTTCTCTCACTCCCACGAGTTCACCCACTTCTTGCTCCTTGTAATTAGTGTTTTTCTCTAAGAATTGAGGTTATGATTTTCTGAACGCTCTTGATTAGCAATTTTTTCAGGCAAACTAAAGTTGACGGGGTAGCTCCTGGAAGCTTCATGAGTATACACACTTAAAACTCCTCGAGTTCCAGCTAACAATCTCCTGGGGTTCCCGTCTAGTACGGAGATTTGTTATAGAAAGGGGTATAAGATGCGAAAGAGTTAAGGTGCACCAAGAACTTGATCGAGTTAAAACTGTGTAGAAATATTTGATCGTGAGTGAAGGATTCAACTCTGGCGCTGATCAAGCCCGTCGCAGCGATGCGCCATGCACTCGACTCTAATCCTGAATCGTCGTGGCGTTTTGAATGCATGTGTGGCCTATACAATAAATTGTGGTGGCCAGCTGATGTAAAAGTCTGTGCTTTTGTCCTCCTAGACATGTCTGGTACCTATTCTCCGACCCCAGAGGGATAGAAAGCTTGGTTATGTTGGAAGAGTATCAGTCGGGGTTCAATCTCCGGACCACTCGTGAGTGATAGGGCGCCAGTTGGCAGTACAGAACATCTGCTAGCATATCTAATAAATGGGTTATAAAAGTTTTATTTGTTTTAATAAAGACTTTATAATCGAGCAATGTTTATTAGTAATGAACTGATGGGGGTTCAGATGATGATGAACTAACTCTGCTTGTATTCACAGCTTCATTCCTCATTGCTGAGTCCAAACCCTCCAACCGATGGAACTTCGCTAGCCGGTAAGCCTCCTCCATTTTGGGAAGAGCCTTTGCCAAGCTCAGAGGAAAAATCCAACAAGCCATATCCGTAAAGAGTAAATCCACCACTCGTAGGATTATATCCGTATGGGTAGTATCCGCCAGAGAATGGTCCGTATCCATAGGGATAGTATCCTCCACTATACGGACCGTATCCAAATGGATGGTGATCGTCGCCCATAGGAGAGCTCCAGAACGGAGGGTAGTTCCCAATCCATGGAGGATATCCGTATGGATAGAATCCTCCATTCTTTGGTCCATATCCATATGGAAAGTTCGGGGCTCCGCTCATTGGGATGTTTGTACCCGGGCTTGAAGGAGAACCGGGCAGGCCAGGTGCACCGGGTGTTTCGCCGTTGTTCACTCCCTGAAGAAATTGATATCTTCTTAGAATTTTCTCAGAAATTCAGTAAAAAGGCTTAAAAATTACTTTCTGGAAGTGAAATACTCTATTCGACTAAAAAGTAAGAAAATATCCTCAAGAAGGCCTAAACAAGACTCACCTGGCTTCTGATGTATGCTGCAGAAATAGCAGTCACAAGGAAAGGATAGATGAACATTCTGAAATCAACTATAGATGCTTTGACCTTCTTTGGATGTCCGTTGGTTTTTATCTAGCAACCGAAGTCAAGTATACATATGGCAGCACACGAAGGTTTCCTTTTCACTTTCGCATTACAGACTATATTCTCATCCTACACAACTCTGTTGAGGGGAAGCATATGTAAGTGGGTGGTTTCAGCTGAAGAAACGGCAAAAACAACTGTTGCCAAGGGATGATTGAGGAAACAGAGAGAAGTGAAACCATTGAAAGAGTGATGAAGGGGACCCTGACTTTAAATGAGATAGACGAGTGATAGCGGTATAGCCTATTTCCGAGTATGTGGACCAGTTTTGATATGAACCGTCATTTTAGATAATTTGTTGGCTGGATATTTAGTGGCCTAGGAATGACTTCGGTATCAAGGCTGAATTTCACAGTGAATAGCAATGAAAGATCCCTCTCTGGGATGCGCCCCACATTCGACCTCCATTAAAAATCACAGTGGCTTTTTTACCTTTTTCAATGCTTATGTGGCCTATACAATGATTTGCAGAAGTCAATCGGTGCACCAGTCGTGCTACTTTATCTTCTCTCAGAAAAGTCTAGAGATAGAAGGCATTGATGGACTGGAAATATATCGAAATTTGCTACTCCGAGGGCCAGTCTAAACGATTAGTTGTGATGGTCAGACAAACTAAATTCGAACGTCTGATCCTGGAGCGATCATATGGTTAGGACGTTTTCTGACACGAACCCTACTGCCTCCGAGGAGATGAAAGTGATCGGAATGGATCTGAATGGCTGACCAGTTAGCAAGAGCACCGTGAGACCGATAACTATGGAAAAATGTAGGTTTCTCATTATGAAGAAACGTTTGGGAACTTGGTACAAGGTAAAAGGTATTATGGTAACGAACAGGCTGGACAGTTTATATACGTGCACATTGTATGGAAATGACTTTCTTCATGATGTACCCGTACAGAGCAGCAAGCAAAAAAAGCCTTCGAATATCAGCATTACGGATTCATATGAACATCGGCATCACGCCGTCACTTTCACCACTTTTCGAAGTTTTTCTGTTGGCATCGAGACGTAGGCCCATCGTGCATTGAGAACTTACGTACGAAGACTGACGCAAACTGCAACCTTTTCGCGTCCGACCAAATTCTCGACTTCACCTGAACTTTGTCTTCTTTCTTCAACGTCTACATCAACATAATATTGCCGTGTCCTCTGATTACCTCGTGTTTTTCTACATCATGATCTCGCTTGGTTTGTTTACTTCCATCGGGTGCATAAATAAGTGAATAAACAAATAAGGGATAGAAGGATAAAGTCTCGGCGCTAATCAGTCCCGTCTGATCGATCCGTCATCGCAGTAGACTTCCATTCAGAATTTTTAGAGGAGTATTGAATGCATATGTAGCCTATACAGTGACTTGCCGTGGCTAGCCGATGTACAAGTTAGTGCTTTTAATCTCCTGGACAAGTCTGGTACCACTGAACCAACCCTGGAGGGATGGAGGGCCTGGTAGGTTCCAGCGTATATCCCCTTTTTGCTCTTCAAAGACAAGGGCCTGCTAAATCTATGTTCCAAATGTCAATTCCTACTTGAAGTTCTGATCAGAGCTTTAATGAATGCCACGGCAGGAGTCGAAGGCATTCATACTACGGAGAGAAGTGACGGTTTTTATGATGACTTTGCCTGTTCAGCTGTTTTATGCAAGTTCGTCTCCGCTTCAGCCTCATCTAAATAAATCACAGAAAAAGTGTTTGATAAGCCCACTGGGTAAAGAGCGATCATCGGAAGGGATTAATGGTCCGTACAATTTTTTGAATAAATTATGAGTCAATGTTTCCACTTGTTGCGATTTCATTTCATCTGACATCACCATATCATTCTGCATGCGCCACAAATCTGCGTTACTCAGTTACCAAAGGAGGACGTACGGTTTGTCGCAAGAGCCCTATAAATAGCCCGTTTGGAATTTGACTGCTTTCCTACGCTTACACTATGTTTTGAAGTGGGCAGCTGACTAACAAGTGAAACCAACCTCGAAGTATTCGGTACAGAAGTACCAACCTCAAAGGTACAGCTCACGGTAAAAAATAGTCTCTGAGATTTCCCTATCGTATGAATTCGAGGCTCCCTCTTATACCATAATCTGCCGTTATAAGGTCGAAAAACGTTCTAGATAGGGCACAATAAAGGGACAGAGATGTATCGTGTGAATGCCACACCCTTAGTGGACGAATTTCATTGGTTTTGTACAGGCTGCACTATCTCAAGGAGCTCGAATGTAGGAAGTTCAAACAACTTGCAATAATCCATGACGACAGTGAAAGGCAGTCTCTGACAATTTTGGCTTGATATAGTCATCTCATTGCGCAATGGGAGCAAGTTAAATCTCGACCAAACTCCCTTACACGCCATTCTCGCCACGGTGACCTCGTACGACCTCCACTTCCACAAATTCTAAAAATCCTTGAAGAAGGCGGATCTTCTTGCTTTTTCGGCTACCGATGTACTCCTCTACATCAACTTCCGCTTTTAAACTTCAAAATTATCATGAACTGTGCCTCTAAGCAAGAGCCATATTAACGTCCGTTTAGCATTTTACTGCATTTCTAAGTGTACTCCATGTTTTGGAGTGGGCAAGTGAAACCATCCTCGAAGGATTCGGTAGTAAAGTACGGACCCTGAAGTTGTACAGGAAAGAAAATCCAGTACAGGCATTCAGCTCTTACAGTAACCTTACAGTGAAATGAAATGCAATGGGCGCAGAAGTTATCAGGCGACATATTTACTTTTGCGGCATAACCCTATTTGAATAAATAAAGCCTCCGTCCGTTACTTATGAGATATATCGAAAAAGGTCCTTGGGCAGGGACACGGGTTCGGTGGAGAGGACAGGAAGATAGCGTGGAAGCTCGCTCAGTCGAACTCATAGCTGGGTTACTGTAGAGAAAAACTACCCTGCTGAATTTTTCTTCCTATTGTTTGACTTGAGCTCGTATAAAAAATGGAAGTTTGGTTATCTGGGGTCGGGTATTAACCTGGGATCGTCATGTGTATGGGCTTTAGCCTCACTGAAGTCAGTTGACTTGGATAACCGATCCACAGTGAGATCTGTCATTGCTCATTTCTGGGATGCTTTTGAAACTTGTCCTTTGTTCCCCATAATAATTTTTCAAACACAAAAAAACTTAAGCACGAATCGTTTTGAGCCCATCTCTCACTGGAGCCCAAGAGCGAGGAAACGGCACTGGCTTAATGTCCGCCGAAACAATCTCATTATTGGCACCTAACTTCATTCTACCTCTCAGCGACACATTCCATCAATCCAGTCCATCGTCCAAGAGCCAGAGTTCAAAGAACCTTAAGCAGGATGCTTTGACACGGAGAAAATCCCTTTTTTTACGCGGTCGTTTTAGTAGTACACCTGCTTCATGGCGTTACTATGCAACCAAATCTGTCTCGCATTTATCAATTAAGCATGGATGTCATTAGAAAGGGATGAGCCGACGTAGTACTCACACGATTGCCACAAAATGGATCGATCCTAAATTAAGAACAGTCAGCTTTCCCTTTTATGGCCCTTACATAGGCTGGACAATTGTTGGCATCGCTCTTCAGTAAATCCAGAATTCAAAAAAAAAAAAAACCCCTCTCATCCTCTATTTCCGCAAGAAAATCTCCCCATGACAAGCCCAAGATAAATTCCATGATTGCACTTCAGAAAGACATATCTCTTGAAACTTTCTGGGAATCTAAATATAGGCAGGTCTCTAGGGAATAAGTGCCTGAGCCAGGAATCAACGCTAAGCGGTAGGCCCCTAAAAACAAAAAAGTCTGCTGAAGATAGATGATCACGGCCCCTTTAGGACTTTTCAGGTATTTTTATAACCATCTAACTGGTTACATGGGCGACCAAACTTGACGGGGAAGGAAGTGGTATAGTGACAAGTAGCGCATTATCACACGCGCTTTGTCCAGAGATCGAATCTCGGATAGATAGTCTCCAGAACCAATCGAGGCTTTCGTACCTCCGCTATCGGTTGATTGCTACTAAATTGGTTTGAAAAGCTAGACAGTCCACCGACTCCCAGGAATAGGAGGTAGATTCCTTCAGCGCGGTTCCACCTCCCAGGCACGGTCAATCTATCTGCCGTCATTCCTCCCCATCAAATTACTGGTATGTCGGTGCTTAGCTTAATCGATGGGATAGAGAACCCCTTCAACCTTTGATGTGATTTTCTCTCCGTGGCTCAAAACTTCAAATTTCTACTGCCGGCTCGAAATGATAGCCAACAGACGAAGTTCGATCCATATCTGGGTGTGCTCCAATTCCCTTTTCGTACTCAAATACAAGACATAAAAGGGAGGAATTGAAATAGGGAAGGATCAGGTCTTCTGACATGAGTCATCACCGTTTTCGGCATGCTCTACCGCATTCGACTCCCAATTTTAATCGTAGAGGCGGTTTGAAAGAGTATGTGGCCTATGCAATACTTTGCGATGAACATCCAATGTACTAGTCAGTGCTTTTATCCTCTCAAACGAGCTTAGCACCACTTAACCGACCCTTGAAGGGATGGCTCGATCGACCTCAGGAAAGATTGATTCAGGATTCGATCCCAGTGCCACTGTGCGTATACTCCACTTCCCACTGAACAGCCACTACCCGACATGTACGAAAGGGTACTTCAATTAGGAAAGGACATGAGATTTCAATTAATTTACGTGCTTCATTATATTTTACAAGTTGATTCTTTTCCCTGGATAGAAGGTAAGAAGGTAAAGACCTAATGGGAGGTTAAAGTTAAAAGCCAAGAGGAAAGATGACGTCATCAAAGCTCTAATGAAGAATTTTTTAGTGACAGCATTAAAGTAGTAATGCCGGATGAATGCTCGTTTGATGGCTTGTTCTGAAAAGTAAAGGTTGAAGGTAATTACTGTGCAGTACAATGTCGTGGTATGTTTCCAAATTGAACGTGAGGGATCCAGGCCGTTTGAACTCAAGCTTTTCCCGTAGCACTCTTTTCCCAGACCAATACATATCCCAAAGATCGTATTACTTTTTCTGCTTCTTTATAATGTGAGACTTGGGACTACATAATGATCCAGCTCATCTTGCTCGTGTGAATTATCCACATATGTAGCTCCTTTCAATTGCCCATTTCAGAGCCTGAAAAAACCTATCCACATCGACCTACCCACACTATAAACGGCTGTAAATGAACCGGACAAACCCTGGCAAAGGTGATTGTGAGCCGAGATTGAATGAATTGTTCTCAGAAATTCCCTTTAAAAGATGCATTCAAAGAGATATCTAGGGAGTGGATGGCCTATGGCTTAACTGGGAAGGATTATTGGACCCTTAAGGATCGGTATACGTGTTTGTCAGTTACGCTAAGTTCAATGGAGAAACGAAAGCTCGAAGTTGGGCAAACCCGTCCGCATCAACAGAGGTGGATAGAGCTTGAACTTTCGCTGGTGATTGTTTTGCTTCCCCCGAATTCCATACTTCCGAAGATATAACCTCCGTATGATCAAGCTCCCAAACACTTTCACTTCAATGAACCCTCCTTCCAGATTGGGAATGGGGCAGCAATAAAAGGCAGACCACCGTCGCTTGTCAATCCTTCTCCTTCCACTCATCAAAAACGTCCATCCGCTAGAAATGTGTTCCCTATGCTGTCACTCAAGCTTAAATAGTGCACCGCCCTTTCAGATTATGAACGGGAGAATGTAGTAATGCGTCAAAAAGAGTTCCTTTGAAGCGCATTGAATAGATTACGTTAAATTGAGAAATGTGTACTTAAAGTTAAGATCCGACTCGTGTGCCATTAGGTCGGAACACGAAATTGTCGCGCACGCCGCATCCGATCCGGACAGTCACGCCCTATGAAAGGGAAAGGTTGAATTTCCAGTGGAAGGATACGGTAGCCACTGCGGAAACACTTTCGTTTGCCTTGGGAATTTGGGGAAAAGTACCGCTACCCATTTCTTTGTAACCCCTTCCGCCACGGTTGTAGGCTCCATGCGGCGCTTTTCAAAGTCAGGTGACGCCGTACTCTGCCCTAAAAGTACATTCTCTTTGAAAGTAATGTAATTACAAAGAGGTGCGATGAATTGAAGAAATAATCATTGAAAAAAACAAATATATATTTACCATTCACGAGATCATTATGTAATGTACAAGTAGCCATTAAATGTCATACAGAAGAGCATTCAATCACTGGGTAAAAATCCACAACAATCGCCATAAATTGGCGCTATACAGGGAAAGCTGAGGTTGAGGCTCGTTGTGAGGAAATCCGATTCGAGTTCGATGATAATCGTAACATTTGCAGCTGTCGTATAGCCGCTGCTGCATTGTATGCCTAAATAAGAGATATCGTGACTGGGAAAACACCCACTAGCATCATAAGGCAGTTTGAACTTGTTTATTTCCCGCTTTTTTTTATTCCCGCGCATTTTGAACGATGCCGCGAAAATGCAAGCGTGGGTTCGAATGCCGTTCGAGGCTGAAGTTTTGTCCATAACTCGCCAATCTTGTGAGACTTTCGCATTGCGTACTGCGACGAAATAACAGCAGTTAACAAAAACATCAAGTTTGTAGTCAGTTGGAGCTGGCATCGAAATAGATTTGTAGCTATTCAAGCACCTTTCTTTCTCTACTGGTTCGCATTGTTTTTCTTAGTTCTGACTAGATGTTTTGATACTTATGAGATCACCAGAAAATTTTAACTTCTCGATCAATAAACTAAACTGGCATTGAAAATTCAGACAAAACTTATGAAGTTTTGAAAAAAATGCAATAATTCCAAAATGGGATGAGCTTTTGAAATTTTCACTGAAGCCTAGGTTAAGTTTTGGTTTAACAAAAACACTGAATTTTTTGTTTTTTTTTGTTGAAACGTCGACCAATAAAGCGGCTTCTGCCTTAACAAACCTGTACGGCAAAACAGTGAAAAAACATTATACAATATGCCCAGGCTTCAAGAAGACCGAACATGAAAGTTACTGAATTTTTTCTCTCGTCACTTGAAGAAATACTATAACCATGAATTCAGTAATTAGCCTACAGGATGCTTTAAATTGAATTTCAGGTTTCAATAATCCTAATTGCGAAAATTCGCTGGATTAATGAATGCAGCATGATAATTATAAATGTCATAATGATAACACAAAATGCAATGCTGTAGGCTTCATTACTGGAATCAGTTCTGATTGCAATTTACCAAGAATTACGATCCGAAAATCGTGTTGAATGAAATGCGAAAAGATAACGAACTAAATCGCTACTCTCCAGTACACTTTTTCTCACTTCCAAGAGTAATAATGTTTTCACTTGACGTTTTTAACAACTGCTGTTATTTCGCCGCATTTTGCGATGCTAAATTCCAAAAGTAATTGTATGTATATTTTTTTAGAAAGCTCAGTCCGTGCTCCTTGGAATGGTATGCAGTCGTACATTGTAAAAAGTGCTATAAAAAAACCATGTGTGAGTCTAGGAAGCGGCCAACTCATGACTGCGTATCAAACGAAGTAAAGTAATTGTATGTATATTTTTTTAGAAAGCTCAGTCCGTGCTCCTTGGAATGGTATGCAGTCGTACATTGTAAAAAGTGCTATAAAAAAACCATGTGTGAGTCTAGGAAGCGGCCAACTCATGACTGCGTATCAAACGAAGTACTGTAAATGTTTACATTTCGAAGAATTGTATAGAATTAAGGGGGGATAAATCAAAGATGTAATTTGAATTCCGTTTTTTCGTTTCAAGATAGATAGTGGAGAGTCGACGCGCAGCGGACGCTCCTATGGTGGGCGAGATAACTCACAATTTTGCCCCTTCGTCTCTGACCGCTTGCCGCGCGATGAGTCTAGTGCCTCATATGTTACCCACTTACTAATAAATTGCTTTTTTACCTTTTATAACAAAGGTATCATAACGTATAGAAAACCAACCTTTCGCCAATTTCTTCTTGCCAATGACTTTTTGAGGTGCGTTACTACTGAGCCGTGAATATCGGTGGTGTAGGCGGTATTACCGCTGATCCTACAAATCGCATGATTAAAAATGAATCAGAGGGAGACAAGGAAACTTGGCTCACCATGGATGTTCAAGAGCTTGCTCACAAGTGAAGCGTTGCTCTGGATCACAGCACATCAGATGAGAAATGAAGTCTTTGGCTAAAGCAGTCAGTCATGTCAGTCAGTAATGGGAGAGAAATTCTGGAAAACCTTACCAGAATCTGAAATCTGGTCCCAATATGGGGCATCGAATTCGTATTCACCCTTGATGATTTGAGCAAAAAGATTCGCATCGCTTTCGTCGTAAAAAGGCGGATATCTAAATATACACATATTAATTTATCACGTTAGCATTTAATTTATGGATGGAGAACGCAGAAAAACAACCGGAAAATGTTAATTAGGCATTGCAAGATTAACTGATTAATTATGTGGCAGTCTAATAGAAAACAAACTTGGGTAATGAGTTTCTGTGAAAAGGTTATCCTAAAAGAATTCGAAAGCAAAGGCAAATTGCAATTTGCAAATGAATCTCTAAATATTCCTTGAAACTAGATGAGCAGGCAGTAACTAAGGAATGAGAAGTCCTGAATTAAAACTTCCGCCTTCCCTGAACCTTCTTCAGGCGTAATTTCAACCTTTGATTACTCAGCTGCATAGGAACGTTGAAGCCCGAAGAATCTCAAGAGACTCTACGGGCTGTTGAAATGCAAAGTCACACAAGCGGCAGGAGGAAGGCACTTTGTACGGCTAAGAGCTGAGAGAAGAAGTGTTTATAAGCGCTTTGAAGCAAAAATAATATGACTGCAAATGCAGAAGGGGGTCCTGGCACGACTGGCCGAGGTCGCCGCGCGGCGGCATCGCGGCAGAGCATCTCGGCAAAGTCACGAGCTGGCGGAAACAAAAATTTGTAAGGATGGTTCTCATGAGAGCGTCCCAGTGCTGCTGCGGGTTCCGATACTTTACCTTCCACCTTTCTTCTTTTCCTTTATTCCAATCAGGTCCTTTCTTTTCTTTAAATTCCGCCAGATAGATTTATCTTCTTTTGCATATTTTGTCACCTAATGAGAAAATGAAATTTTCAATTTTGATGTACCATACTAAGATCCTGGGTTGATTAGGCCAAAGCAGGAAGAGATCTCACTTGTTATGAAACACGTGACACCTATGTTGTTGTCAACACTCCAAGAAGAAAATCAGTTTATCTGAAGTCGACTTACCCGCAGAGCAATATATAGGCAATTACTCCTATTGACCACACATCAACTGCTTTCCCGTATGGCTTCTGCTGAAGAACTTCTGGTGCAACATATCTAAACAAATGGATTTGTTGAAAAGAATTGATGTTTTTCCTCCCTTCCCAGCTTCGTTATAGAATTCAAAGGGGAAAACTAACATAAGGTATGATTAACAATATTGTGAGGTATGAAGCTTTGTGGCATACGCCCCGCATTCAACTTTGTTTCATTAGGAATAAGCTCTGCCGGCTAACTTTTGCATGTTTCCCTGTGCAGGTAAAGTCGGAGGAAAGGAACCCTCAGTAAGTGACGTTCCGCATTGCCATGTAAGGACTCACTGACCATAAACTAACAGGGAAACATGCCTCCAAACAGAAGGACGCTAAGTAGGGTCTCATGGTGCCATGAGGGTAGCCCACTCCTGAGGTAATCTGGTACTCAATAATCAGTAGAAGCGGAAAACTCTCTCTCTATATCGTTTTAACCAAGAGAGGAGAGAAGAAGGATCGATTTTACAAGAGAAAGGAGTAAAAAAGGAATGTCTTGTAAAAAAGGAAAAGGAAAGGAGGAATGAAAGGAAATCTTTGTAATTAAGAAGTGTTTTACAGCTCAATAAAAAGAGAAAAGTTATTAATTGAGGCTATTAGCTTTCAAGCGTTCGCATTCAATCAACCACAAAGTCATATTCATCTAACAAAACAAGTGATGATTGATTCCCAGCTTTTATGCCGTGGATGCAGCTATCATTTAAAAAAAGGAAACAATCCTATGGAAGTAAGAGATTTTAAAATCAGCCCTTACCCAGGAGTTCCGCAAGCGGTTGCCATCACACCGGAATCTTCAGTTTTTGATAGACCAAAGTCCGATACCATGATTTTCGAATCCTGAAAATGTATGGCCTCAAGAAAGTAGTCTAGAAAGGAGATGGACAGAAGCCTCAGGGGAGGGGTATTTGGACGAGATGTCATTTGCTGCAATAGCGTAAAGAACTGGCTACAGAGGTCAAAAATAAGCAAAATTCATCCCCTTGAGCACGTTCGTCGTACTGACCGCATGGCCCATAGCGAAAGTCTATCTCCTTCAAAAATGCAAAGAAGTAAGATTGCTGGTCCAGTTGCTATCTCTAACCGTCTGTTGCCTCCCACATAAGCGTACTATTCGTTGGCATCCTAATGGTTCACTGGGAATGGTGCAACAAAACAAGGCTGGCATAACTCGGTCACTTTTGGGCGTGTACGTCGGCCAGACCGGTTTTGGAGCCCCTGATACGTCCTGTCTAGACCGCTTTTTGGCCCGATCATGTCCCTTGTGCTATCCTTGGGGTTAGAATTCATCCTGAGAAGGAATCTTACGAACCCTTTTTCATTGGGAATTGTGCCGTTAAATATCGGTCAATCGAAAAAAGCTTCAGAAACGGTCGTAATACCTCGTCTTGATTGTAATAGAGGAGATTTTCTGGTTTAAGATCCCGATGAACGACGCCATTACCGTGCATAAATGAGACTGCATGCAGTACCTGAACATAATTGGGCCCGCTTTGACCACAAAAAACTAAATTCGAAAGAGACTTACCTGCCGTATTAAATGACTGGCATCTTTTTCCGTATAGGATCCTTTAGCGACTATTCGATCAAATAGTTCTCCACCTGTGACGAGTTCCATAACGAGGTATACGTATTGCTTTTCTTCATATGTATCGTATAATTGAACAATGTTCGGATGCCGTAGCCTGTAAACAAATGCTTGGGTAAGCTCCCCAAAAAAAGACTCCAACAATTTTTGTTGAAAATGGGGTTGGGAATCACGGAATCACGGAATCACGCTGTCAAGTGAGCACAAGGCTGGTAACGGAGGCACCTCTGACCTGCTCCGGCAGTGACTGAACTGGCGGGTTTTCAAAGTGTAGGCACAGGCCTATTCTCTCAACTCCTACACAATCTCTCAGGTTCCCTGCTTTCTGTGGACAGTTATGTCAAAGAGTAGGTTTGGGCAACTGCTACTCTACCAAAGAGACACTGGTGAGTTCTTCACTGGTGCTCTCAATTTTAAGTGTTATTCCTACTCACTTGTACGTTCTCTTGAGGAACGACCTACCCAGTCCCTGTAGTGGGAAACCAAAGGGGTAAAAGAGATTTCAGATGTTCAGTAGAAAGGAGAGATAGGAATGGTCCTCTAGTAGTGAAAGAACGGTGGAGACGGTGTGAGAGGCTTTTTTTTATTGGGTTGTCCGAAAAGTTTCCGCCGATTTTTGATCCATCTTTGAATGAAAATTCCTAGAAGAAGAAATCCATTGATTGAACAATATATCCTCCATTCTGTTCCGTAAGGATTCGCCATCTCCCTGTAGGTTCCAGATCCCCTCTTCCATAGAAGGTTCCAGACTTAAAATCGAAAAACTCACTCAGGTGCTTTTTGCAGTCCTCCAGCGAATTGAACGATTTTCCATTCAAGGAATTTTGCAGAAACCCAAGCAAGTGATATTCTGGTGGTGTTATGTCTGGACTATATGGGGGGTGTGGTAAGACATCCCACT